TTATCTTGCATGGGGTATACATAGCCTGGTGGTTGGCCATGTGAGGGGAGCCGTCCTTTGAGCAATTCATGCATCTATACTCTGTCTCAAGGCAACAGGGTAACTTTGGCTGGGTGCAGGTGAACTGTAGAAAGGCGAAGGAGATGGGGTATTTCATTGGACAGCCACCAACGTCTCAGAAGGCGTGGCGGAATCGATGGTTTTTTGTCTTTGGAGATTGGGAATGTTGGCCAGGGAGGGCGGTCCACAGACACGTACCTGCTCAATTTCAGACCATACATTTTTGTTGTTGGTTTTTGTTTATATGTGCTTCGGTATGTATATATGCCGAATGTTTGAAGACTAATATCCCTCTTTCTATGCAGGCTTAGTGAAGTGCAATCCTGTGTCAGGGGAAGAAGAGGAAGAGATAGAATTTGTCAGAAGTGCGATTTCTGAGGAGAGGCTTGAAGCGAAGAATATTGTGACGCCAGCACTTCTGCTAAAGTCAGGGTTGATTTAATATATAGGCTCTTACAACTACCATATCCTAGACACATACCCATCTTCTTCTTCTTTTTTTTTTTTTCTTTTTTTTTGGACTAAACTCTCACACACTACACGGATGCTAGAATCAAATCCAGGACATTTCCTGGGAGAGCAATTGCTCCAAACCACTAAACTAATGGGTTCTTTGCATACTCACCTATTTTTAAATCTTTACTTAAAACCCAAATTTAAAATTGGTTGTCATGTAAGATAGATTTGTCCAAGTATTATTAACTAAATTACAATATATGTCATTTACCTTTCATATTTATTTTCAAGCACGTCATTAACTGCCTCAAATATAATTAATATTCCCTATTAATAGCATATCAATCACCTCTTTCTTTTGATTGGCACTCCCTTCTAATCCATTGGCAATTTCTAAAAAAAGTTTAAACCAAAAACTAAAATCCCTAAATTACATATCCAATAAATAATGTACCTATAAAAATAATATAAATATATATAACTATTGGTACATTCTTTATAGAAAATATAGGTACATTATTTACAAAATGAAATATATGTACATTATTGTAACTATATTTTGCGCCCGCACTAATTTACCTACATATACCTACATATAATAATGCACCAAATATACAACATACCATTCATAATAGGTACGTTACTTTGCAGTTGGTACATTATTATTAATTTTTTTTTTAAACATCCTAGGTAAATTGAAGAAAAGTGATATATTATTGTCCATCAAAATAGTAAACAAAATATATACACATTCTTTATATTTATAAGATAATAAGAAATTTTTCGTTCATGAAAAATTAAATAATTTGGTACATTATATATTTGAAACTATTAGTATGTTTATTCATAAAATGTAACTAGAAAGTTTTCTTAAAATCAAGTATAATTCATAAAATGGAAAAAGTTGACATTGTTTTCATTATAAAAAAAATAGCATTTTGGTTCTTAAATTATGTGTAATTTAGGTATAAATATGAAATTTATTGTTAAAATTAACAAACTTCCCAAATTAATACGTACGAACTCAACCAATTTTGACAAAAGAAACATTAATACAAAAAGAAAACTTAACCAATTTTGACAAAAGAAGCACATCAACAAGATTATCTCAAAAGTTCTACTTTTAAAGAAACGATTTTGACAAACAACCCAATAAACAAGAAAAAGAGATTAACTCAACCGATGAAATCAATTTTTTGAAATTTTGTGATCAAATTCCACTCCAAAATCTAAACCTAATAAGCCAATTTTTATACCTGGAATTTAAAGATGTAAGTTTTTCCCAATTTTGACAAAAGGAGCAGATCAACACATGGATTACAAAGGTTTTCATTTAAAGAAACAATTATTCAACTTTTTAAACCCATATACAAAAGAAAATAGATGAATATTTGAAATTACAAATTCCTTAATCCTTTATCCCATAAATTTTTTGCTGAAAAGAAAAAAGACATTCAATTTTGAAACCCATCGATGAATTTTTGAAATTATGAATCCTAAAAGAAGAAAGACCTTGAATTGTACATGGAATTCCGAAGTTCTTTGTAGATCTTGTGAAAGAAGATGAAAGTATTAGGATTTTGGAATTCCGAAGTTCTTTGCAGGTCAGACATTAGGCCTATGGAACCTGAATATACTCAAGGACACAAAATCATGCTCTCTGACATGTATCCAACATCAGGTTAGTCAAGTTGCAATGTGAAAATGCAACTTTTCTTTTGCTTTTAAATGGAAGCTCCAACTTGGTTCTTATCATTATATATTAGGCTTTTTATCACAAATGGTCCTTGACGTTTACGAAATTATCACGAATGGCCCTTAAGGTTTTTTTGTGACACTAATAGTCCTTAACGTTTGGACTTTTTATCACAAATGATCCCTGCCGTCAAAAAATCTATTAAGTGTATGATGTGGAAGATAAGTGGAGCCCACATGTCCAATCACATCGTGACATTTGGATTAAATAAATAAATAAATATTTTTTTGATGAAAATCCATTAAAAAAACCATTTAGCCTCTCTCTCTCTCTCTCTCTCTACTCTTCAAGTTTTTCAATCCCGAAGACCAAGTTCAAGCTTAAGTTCATCATCCTCTTCAAATAGACAAAGACCAAGAAAAGCCTGGGATGAATTGTAGAGAAATTGAAGCAAATGAGAAGAAAATGGATCAAGATAAAATAATCCGTGCATATAGAGAAGAGATTGAAGGCCTTAAAGGCCGTCTATCAGTTTCACAGAAGAAATTTTCTGAAGCAGAGAAGAAAGCTAATGCACCCAAAGAACTAAGAGAGAGAGATGATGTGATACTCAAATTAGAGGAGGACAATCAAAAGGTTCAAGATCAGCTAAAATGGAAGAAGGAGCAGTTCAGACATCTAGAAGAAGCACATGACAAGCTCCGAGAACAGTTTCTTATTCTCTCGGTGACCCACGTAGAGAGAGAGAGAGAGAGAGAGAGAGAGAGAGAGAGAGAGGGGCTAAATGGTTTTTTAATGACGTGGCATTAATTTAAGTAGTTTAAAGAAGTAATGACATTTCATTTGACACATCATTTGGGGAGAAATTGCAAATCTCAGCATTGGAAGACCACCTTTTAAAAGCTAGCCAAAGTGAGAGAAGAGGACGGTATATATAAAAAGACAATTTTCTTGTACCATTGTTTATTTGGATTTCGATGTTTCCCATGATGAAGGCCAATGTTATAACCAACAGCGCTGTTTCTGTTATGAAAGTCTGTTTGATGAGTGGAAGGGACAGAAGCTTAGCTTCAGTCAGGTTTGCTTATAGTTGAAGAGACGTTGGCCTGCAAATGTAAAAGAGTGAAGCTCTCAAATTCATTTATTGGTCAGAAAATGCCAATCTTTTTCGAGGTTGCCAATCTTTATTTTCTGTTGGTGGGTGTGTTATCCATCAGTTCTTTGGCTTCTTTTTCTCCAATAAGTTTGATTGCCCCTTTGGTCTTTGTTAGTATGATTAAAGAGGCCGTGGAGGATTGGCACATATTCTTGCAGGTAAAACCAAATCACAGGATACAAAGTTCCAGCCAAATCACATTATAAGTAACCAAAGCCACGGACTATAGCCGATTGCTTTGCTAGCAATTGCTCCATTGCGTTCTCCAAAATCCTATTACAATATTATAAACATAAAGTGATAATCACTATTTTTAACTTAATAAGTTATAATTGAAATTCATGGTTATTTGGTTAATTTTATTTATGGCTAACACAGCTATAATGTTAAACCCCTTGTATACAAACTGCATTTGTGGTTAATTTCATTTAAGACGGGTTGGTTCGGCCAATTTGGGCCTAAGCCCAATTCCCTTTCATTTTGTATTTTTTTCAATATTGTTAGTCCAATTATAACCAACAATTTTTTTAACTTGTTCCATACTTAAATCATTTTTTAGAGTTCGAAACCATCCTAAAGCTCAACATGCCATAAAATTTCACATTTCTTTTTTGGTGAAGGAACGGGGCTAACGCCCAACAAGAAATTAAACAATGGCTCGAGGCCTACAATATAATTAAACAATGGCTAACGCCCTAAAATTTCACATTTCAATAACTAATATAGCTTAGTTCAACTCCATATATATAGTTATTACCTAACTAGAGTATTACATGTAAATTAAAAATATAATTAAATAAATATACACTGTCCGGTTTGGTTTAAGCCGATTTATAAAAGCTCAACACTAGATTAAAACAAACCATATACAGGTCCAGTTCGATTATTTGACCTTTTCTTAGTTAAAAACAAACCAACCTGATAATTACTATTTGAATCGATCGGTTTTATTACTTCGGATGGATTGATGCCCACCCCTAGTTTGCATGATTGAGTTAAAGTTAAGGATCAATTTGAGTTGACCCAGTTGACTCTTCTCCCTCTATTTCTTTTATTTTATGCCTGAAATTCCTTCATTGCTTGCTTTCCAAAGGTTTTTTTTTTGTATTGATATCAGTTTGTTGGCTTTTTCTATTTGCATGATTGGTGTTTCCTTTTAAACATTGATTTTCGAGGAAGGAGGAAGAAAACAAAAGAAAAGAGTATTATATACTGAAAATGGGTTTTGAAATTATGGTTTTGTAGGAAGTGGTGGGTTGCCCTTGTTTTGTGGTAAAATTTATATGAAACGCTCGAGGATAGCACTGTTTTGCCATTCCCGACCAATCATACTATGTCATGTGTGATAAATTCCTTCTTATTTAAGGTTGCTAGTATTTGGGAATTATTCCAATATAGGCTCTTACAACTACCATATCCTAGACACATACCCATCTTCTTCTGTTTTTTTTTTGTTTTTTTTGTTTACTAAACTCACACACTACACGGATGCTAGGAGTCAAATCGAGGACATTTCCTGGGGGAACAATTGCTCCAAACCAATACACTAATGGGTCCTTTGCATACCCACCTATTTTTAAATCTTTACTTAAAACCCAAATTTAAAATAGGTTGTCATGTAAGATAGATTTGTCCTAGTATTATTTACTAAATTACAATAGATAGGCGACCTGCTATAAGTTATATACAGACCTTTCAAACTATGATGCTGCTTGGTTTAAAATTTATATGACAACAAATATAGAACAAGGCACAGAGAGATCTCATACTGTTATGATAGTACTCTTCAGGAAGTCCAGATATATTGAATACTGACAAGAAGGAATCCAAATGAATACGTGCATTTCCGGAGAACTGAATCACATCCCAAGGATTCTGCAATTCCAAACCAGAATAAGAACACTCAATTTTAGAAAAGTACAAATATCAACACAATTACGGAACATGCTCAACCGAAGTAGAAAGAAGAAAAATAATCTCTTTCTTTTACCATGTTACTCTCTCTAACTTGACTAGATTGACAATTCAATTCAGTAAAAGAATAGGATAAAAAGAAAAGAAAAAAAAAGGTACATAATATTTTTTTTTAGTAGAATATGGCCAAGAGCACATTACCACAGGTGAAGAGAAACCATATCTTTGCATCAACATGTCATTCTGTTGTCCACTCATGTAATTGACAGTCATCTGTAAATATTCCTCCAAATTAGTAGCAGATAATCTTCATATATGTAAACTAAAAGCCTTAGCATAAGACTCCTTGCAAGCATTTACCTATGAAAGGAAATTATCAACATCAATTGAGAAAACAGAATAGGCATTACCTCGTCACCTTTCTTAATACATATTCCAGCATTTATCATCACTTCAAGCATGCGATCCTTAAAACGCCAATGGAAAAAACAATTTGGCTCGAAGGAATGGTTTAGCATATCTGCACAATTTAACAAATTGATTAGACAGCCATCTAATAACAAAATGGGGAATATAAATAGTAAGTGAACGCAGATAGTTTAAGGAAAACATTTGCTTCGAAATCCCAATAAGTGAAAACAGAAATAGTATACGTACATAATACAACTAATGCAAAAAGAAAATGAATTTCATACACAAAGTTGTGTCTTCATCAACACCTTACCAATTTCAAATGGACAAAGATGTCTAAGAGCAAAACCAAATTGAATTAAGAACATAATATATAACTCATTAGGACAAAGATAAGTTCTTGATTCCCCCCTCCAAATTGCGATTACTCATCTAATTTTATAATATATTCACGAGAATTTTTTTTTATAATCAAAACTAGAAGAGTATAGGTGGATACAAGCTTACCTGCATATGGAATTAGCATGTTTGCATCTTGAACAACTGCACCAATTCTCATTTGCATGCCAATGCATCGTGATTGTGCCATACTCAATGCCCAAATGAATCTCTCAGGATCACGAGCAAGACATTTAATTTTTAGTGGTACACCAGAGTGCTGATTCAGGTGAGCACCCATACAACATATGCATAATCAGTTAAAAGTTAGGGTAAGCAATTTATTCTGCACAATAATAATGATAACAAGAATGCTTTCTGAGATACAAGATACAAAGGCTGCTAAATACCCAATTTTTTTCCCAAAATTCCAAGGCTCAACGTTGCTGTTCTCTCATAGTTTAAGCAAGATTGGGATTCTGCAGTTCTGAAAGCTCCTCCTATAGCATATATGGAGCAAAAGCAAAGAAAAGCATTATTAAGAGTACTTATTTACAAAACTTCAAGAGGCCCAAACAATGTGGATGCATTCTCGAAGGCCACATGACAGCTATAGATGTGCCTGTGACATCAGGCACACTCAAGGCCTTGATGCAAATCTTAATAAAAAATGACAATTTCAAGTTTAAGCTTTAAATTGGCCTTCTAAAATTTTACCTGATGCTTTGCACAAGGAGAGCCTCAAATCTAAAAATTGCAATCCTCAAATACATGTTAAAGCTCTAGATCTTATAGGTATAAATCAAAGAAGAAAGATACATGCCTATGTTTATTTTTATCACTCGTGAATGAAGCCAAAAGAAATAAATGGTACTAAACTATGCAAGTTTTTTTTAAAAAAAAATACTATAAATAAAGATTTATGTTCTGTAAATTCATCTACCTCACTAGCTAGAAGCAAGCTGGGGCACTCATCTGCACTGGGTAAAAAATCACCATACAACTGCCAAAAGTTATCTTCCCGATCAAATGCGTACAAAAGAAGGCATGCTAACCTCAGATCCCAATCTGTCTGCCACAAAAAGGAAGGCAATAGAAATTGAATGTCAATTCATAATTTGAACAAAATGCTATTTCCATGAAGAAATACTAGAATAATTGACAAATTTTTTTTCCTGGTAAATGAATGATTATACAAATCAGCTATCAATCCTTGATAGCTGAAATTAAGTAAAACACATTTACCTCTGGATCAGTTGAGTTAATGATATCAAATATTGGATGACCCACTGGTACTATATCTGGAAAAAACATCCATGGGAGCTTTTGGCTTACAGTTAACATCAGTTCTAGTGGAATTTCCATTATTACCTGTGAAATTGAGAACAAAGCAACATTAATACCAAAAAACTAGCCATTGGAACTCAACACTTCATCATAAACCAAGGGCTGTCAAAACCATCACAGACACTGACACTTAATGTGGCATTATGCAAGGAGGTGTACTCACACACTCCATAGTAAGTGCAACAGATTATTATAATCGGATAGAAACAACTCACTCTAGCCCGGCGAAGTGGTTCAACATCCTTGGAAGCATAAACTCCAAACCCATCTGGCCCTTCTTTAAATTCAATTCCATAAGCTCTCATGCTTCTAACATACCCTATCTTGTAGAAATCAGGGTCCGCTGGCTCCAACTGTAGGCATTACAAAATAGAGGTGTGAATGTTGCAGTGAAGTTTAACCAAGTATGGCTCTCTCCCCTATTGGTTGAATACTACATATATGCTCTTCTGGTTTTTTATGAACATAATTGTGTGGTTACCACCAAACACTTCGAATATACAAACTTTCTTTCATTTAAAAGATGAAATTTTCAGTTAAGAGGCCACAAAACAAAGTGGATACAACTTAATTGTTAACAAAATGGTATCTTAAATTGTGAAAATTGTTTCAGTGTTCTAAATTCAATTTCCCTACATTTTCTGAGCAATCAAACAGAGCATAAAGGAGAACGAGAAATGGGTATTACCTCACAGGCAGACCCTTCAGCTTCAGGAGGCTGAAACAAAGAAAACGGAGGAGCTTCGGTGGCTGCTTTTGCTTTAATGGGTTGAATTAGAATGCCTTTTACTGCGTCTTTCGTAGGGACAGTATATCTGGGTCGTGGTGACCATCCATAGTTGGAACCTTTCAACTGCTTCACACACACATCAAAATTAATCAGACAGAGATTAAAAAAATAAAGAAAATGAGAGAGAGAAAGAGATGGAACCTGAGGATTGGAGATGAGGCAATGGGAGGGGTGATGCAGAGGAAGAGAAGAAGAGGCCATTGGAGAGAAGAGACAGTATTAGAATTGAAACTCCAACAACATATTTGATGGCAGCAAAGCAACCAAAGCAGCAGCAACAAGTGTTAGAAGTGAGTGACGAACTGGGAAAGGTTATCCACTTTGACAGTCTCCTCCCTGTTTCAGTGTTTTAAACTCGAATGAATGAGTACGAGAAAAGACATGTTTTTGTGATCTTTTTTTAATATATATATATATATATTTTAATAACTTTGGTTCTTCTACCGTAATCATCTTATTTCATTCCAAAAATCTTTTCAAGTTTAAAGATGTACTTCTCTTTTATTTTTATTATTTTATTTTCCAATTAGAAAAAGAAAATATTATAGATGAATTGAAATGCCAGTGTCCTCTTGGAATGGCCACTCCTACTTACATTATGTCATTCACAATTTATAGGTGTACAAAAATTTTCCTCTTTGTATTTTCGATGAGTTGTTTTTGTGTATGTGCCAAACGGTGATTTGTAAGACGGAAGTAGTGTCTTTTTTATATCAAGAGTGAGAGGAGATTTAATTTTGAAATCATTCCCACATTAAGAAGAGAAATAAGAGGGAAGGGATTCAAATTTATAATTGAGAAGAGAAATAACTTTGTATGAACAAAGCCCATAAAAAGCCTCAAAGGACTCTTGAATATTGACATAAAATGTAACATCTTTTCCGGTTATGGAATCCAAGTGCCCTCTCAAGTGATGGAGTTGAACATTGCATTCACATTCTGTCTCAGTCAAAATTTACATACCAATATCAGTTGATATAACTTGGCATATTTGGCAATGTCACAAATACACCATTACAATATCAAGTTTG